ACTGCCTTTCCTTTCTCAGATGATAGTTTTCAGTAGTCAATTTGTAGACACAGTATGTTAAAGTGATGCAATCGCACCTCCCTGTTTGCTGACCTTGTGCTCTTATCTTTTCCCGTTAGGAAGACTTTATCTTGGAAGTCAGTAGTTTGTCTTCTCCAGTTCACTACTTGATCTTCCTTTTCTTGAATTTTGTTGGTGAGTCTTTCAATTCTGTACTGCATATTGCTGGTAATTTCCTCTGCTTTTTCCTCCATTACCAATATTAATTCGCTAAGTTTCCTGTTTTTGGTGTAGATATTTTCTATATGTTGTTCATCTGGATTAATTTTGCCTGCGCAGACCTCGCAGAAATAGGGAATTTTTCTAGATTGCGCAGTGCCAGAAATTGCACTTCAGTAGACAGTTTCGACATGTTATAAGTGGGATTCTGGTGTACAAATTTCAGGGTGATTCACCCCTCGGCAAAAGTCTATGCCAATAATCTCGACGATTATTGATCTTGAGCAAAATATTCGTATCGTCAATGATGAAATGGAACCAGAACTGGAAAAATAATTTTGCAACAAGAATGCAGAAAGAGTCGAGAAGGACGTTCGAAGGATATTGAATTCCTATGCTTTATTCCGTGTTGAACACCTAGCAGTTTTAATCTCCTCTATATTGCTCGTGAAAAAAAAGTTTTCACCATTTCACCAAAGAAAAAAGCAGACGTTGAATGCAATTCTCTGTCTCTGTAGTAGAATTTTTTTACATTGTAAGTAAATTCTTGGATGTCTTTTTGTTTTCCATCTGGGTCTCTCAATTTATGCATTTTTGCACTCATTAGTGTTGATCGTTTCCACGATTTCCATATTATTAGGTATTGGCTCTCTTTTAGGAGTTTATTGGTTGATTTTTCTTGTACAACTCATCTTTCTTATGCCTAATTCGATGCGAGACGGCATTTCTTTTTCTAAGTTATCAGTACTTAGTTTCTACAGGTTTCCCAGATTAGAGAGTTTTTTGTTTAGTTCTGATTGGTATTTTAGGGTTTCGACGGTGGGAAAACTTTGTTGTTTTATTAGTTTACTCTTTTACATCAGGTTGATCTTGAACTTCATTGTGGCTCTTTCTTAGTAATATATTATCAGCGCCAGTACCTATATAATTTAACTATTTCAATTCAATTTCAATTTCAAAATACCTTTATTGTCGAAAATTATAATGTATAATCATTGACAAAGCAAATACTACAATAATAAATACAAACAACAAATCAGTTAAAACAAGTAAAATAAAACACACATCAACATAAAAATCAAAAAAGTAAAATGCATAACCAAAACGAGTGAGCACATGAATTTGAATGTAGATTCCAGGAAAAAAAACAGTATACAGGTTGGAAAATTAAAAAGGATCCACCTGGATTTTCTCGAAAATCATCAGGAAATTAAAAAAACGTCGAAACACGTCGATTTTGTTTGCAAGGGGGACACTTTTTGGCTATTTCAAAATTTTTCTAGATTGCACCCCCTTATCGGGGTGAGTTACACCCTCAAAAGTTGAATAGGGAAACTGGGTCGAGTGGTACCTTGTTTGAGAGGTATTTGAGATGACTTCACAGATCTGTAATTTGTTTCGAAATCTGACTACTTGTTTTCAAGATATTCGCCTCGGAAGTTGCCATGGGGCGAAAAGAGAACGTGTTTTTCGTACCTACATTTCTACAAGAAAAAATTGAAATTTCTGAAACACGTCAATTTTGTTTATTTTGAACCTTTGTTTCTTTGTTAGTTTGAACCTTTTGAACAACCTTTCAAACATGACCCATGACTCACTTTTCATTTTTTCACGAGAAACACGTTCTCTTTTCGACCCATGGCAACTTCCGAGGCGAATATCTTAAAAACTAGAAGTCAGATTTCGAAAAAAATGACAGATCTGTAAAGTCATCTCAAATACCTCTCAAACAAGGTACCACTCGACCCAGTTTCCCTATTCAACTTTTGAGGGTGTAACTCACCCCGGTAAGGGGGTGCAATCTAGGAAAATTTTGAAATAGCCAAAAAATGTCCCCCTTGCAAACAAAATCGACGTGCTTCGGCGTTTTTTCAATTTCCTGATAATTTTCGAGAAAATCCAGGTGGATCCTTTTTAATTTTCCACCCTGTATATACATAGACAAACAAAAAAAAGAATATACAATTAATAAACAAAATCACCGGGTCATTCATTAAATTCTTGAGGGCTGTAAAATGCCTGACCAAGTAAATATCTCTTTGGTTGAACTCGAAAAACCCTATATTCTCTTATGGATTTTATGTCGTTTGGCAGATTATTAAAAAAATATATTCCTTCATAAATTACGGAGTGCTTTGTTAACTGTGATCTTGGGATTGGCAAAGGAAATTTGTGGTTTCTAAAATTGTAACGATCTACTCTGGAAAATTCACGAAACTTCTTGATGATCAAAAATGCCATCTCCTGTATTAAAATACATGGGACGGTCAGTATCTGCTCTCGTACAAAGAGAGGCCTACAACTCTCCGGCAACTCACCCTGCACAGATAGCGCAGAGCCCTCTTCTGAAGGACAAACACCAACCTGACCGATATGCCTGGGTAGAAAAACCTTAAAATGCCATCCTGAATTTAATATGTGACTCCATTGGTAAATACATGGATGCTTTTTACTATGTAGCAGCCCTGTGACAGATTTTTATTGAGAGCCTCAATATGTGTCTCAAATCTGAGTCTGAAATCTATGTGCACATCCAGGAACCTAACAGTTGATTTGTATTCTATAGTTCTTCCGTCCAATGTAATGTTGTTAAGATCACTCTTAAAAGTCAGTACATTTGTTTTCGATACATTAAAGATTAAGCAATTTGCATCACACCATTCCTTTACCTAATATGATCAAGTCTCCTTCAACTGATTGTTTTAGGATTTTCTTATGCTTATGTCCGAGAGCATTGTGTCATCCGAAAAACATCATAAAATCCCCTAGAACAGGCCCAGGAGTTGCTAGATCGTTCACGTAGATCAAAAAGAGAACAGGCCCCAGGACGGACCCCTGGGAAACGCCGTGTGACAGATTAGACTCTTCAGAATCCCGCCCGCCTGGAATCCTCACAAATTGACTTCTTCCCGAAATGTACGACTCAAACCAACTCAATTCCCGTGCGCCAACACCATAATGGCACATTTTCCGCAACAGTATTTCGTGATTCACCCAGTCAAATGCTTTTGAGAAATCACAAAACACTGCCGCGGCCCTCTCGCCATCATTCAGACCAAGAAAAAGTTTCTCAAGGAATGAGAACATTGCGTCTTGTTCCATTGAGCCTCAGATATTCAACCAATCGTACTTTGACTATTTTTTCTATGATCTTTGACAGAGTAGTCAACAAAGCTATCGGGCGATAGGCAGACGGACGAGTCTTTGCTGTTGCCACCCTTAAAAATGGAATAGGAAAATAGGAATCACCGCGAGCTTTAGGCAGCCTGGGAATACTCCCGAAACAAAAGACTCATTTATGCAATCTGCAAGTGCATCAGTTATGGCCGCGTCAGAGGTAGGTGCTTGAATACCTTTAGTGACAATGGTTTGTGAGGAACTTTGTTTTTTGATGTTAGCTAGTTGACAGTCTTTGTTCTCTGGAGTCGCTACTACTAAAATCAATATTCAAGTCCCCTGCAAGACAAGAACTATCCTTGCTGAAATAGGGAATCCAGAAAGCAACAATTCCAACATACCTATTCAAAAACTCCTCAAGATTACCAAGCAGCGGTCTATATAGACAAATAATGAAAACGTTCAGTTTCCTAACGTGGGCCACCGAAAATTCAAATTCATGTGCTCTACAGTAGGAAATTGTAACAGGCTACACTCTCAACGTCGAATTTGTCCAGAAAACAATTATGTACTAATATAGCGGTACCGCCGTAGCCTCGGATTCTACAGAATCTTGATACAGTTTTATATTCAGATAAATTTCTAGTAGAGCTCATTCTCTTTCAATCAATGTTCCATTAGAAGTACAAAAGATGGGATATTTAAATCACTAACTAACAGAACTAACAGTTCATCTGCTTTATCTCTCGCTGCAAACATATCCTTCATTTTGCAAGTACCTGTAATAAAATTAGACTTATTCTCGATAGAATTAGTGCATTTAAACACATTTTCGTTGCATGCCACTAATATAGAAAATGATCTTGAATGACACTAGATATTTTTTCACCTATTCGCAATTTAGCCCTGTATTTGGTTGTATTACTTAACACGGTAAAAGAAGATGAGCCTAAAAATGAGTTTATATTGATAAATGCATGCCCATTTGCTTGAGCCTCAATGAATTCGTATAGTTGTATACTAATTCGATCAATGAACCAATTTAAGACTACCTACTCGGTTTCTCCAAAGTGGTATTGAAAGTACTATCAAATTCGTGAACTTAGGTACATATTAGGAACAAACGACTATATACTACTTCACTAATTTTACGGTCTGTGAGGGAATTCCTGACGCCCCCGCTGACTATCACAAAATCCTTTTTGGTAAAATGTTTTGTCAACTCTTTAATGTTTTCACTAATGTTTTTCATTCGCGCATTATGGTTTACTTTAGAAGTTATTTCAAAATGGTCGAGTTCATGATGTTTTCAAAGTATCTTGGACAAATCAGCCACAGAACTGTCACCCATTCTGAATGCAATGTAATAAAAGACTCAATTATTTAATAGCATCAACAAATAGAATCTTTGTGACAAGTTGGCATTCAGAGAATCAATTTAAACAAAAATAAACGACTCATTCAAGCATATACTTACGGATATCTTGAATTTCAAAAATCAATATCTTGATTTCCTATTCACAATCTGTGGTCCAAAGGTACATGTAAATTTATCACCTTTCCCGATCAAATAGCATTGAAAGGTGATTCATTTTACCTGTACCTTTGGACTACAGATTGTGAATAGACAATATATTGTTCTTCACTACTGCTGTTTATGTTATTTTCCGCTGCAGAGTATTTCCTTGCTCCGTGCCAAGAGGACCTTCATGTGAAACATTCATTCGTGATTTCACTTGAACAAATAATAATAAATTCGTCAATATCCTACCGATGTGGCGAGGTCTGTTGAGGGGTAAATTGAAAAAGTCCTAAGCCTTGCTTAAGTGTGAAAGGAGAGTTTAGTTTAGATAAATAACATTCCACCAAATGGAAATCATGCAAGGGACTTTCTGATCCCTCTGTATATTTGTGAGGATTCTTTTCACAATAAATTGATCGGTAAGAGGAAAAACTGCGAGCAATATTCAACTTGAAGTAAACATTCACACACACGACTTGAAGTTGGAAAACGACACATTTTCATATCCAATTCGTATGTCGACATGGAGAAAATTAAGGTCAATATCCACCTTTTCTTCGAAATTCTGTATTTTTAATAATATTGAATATATTAGAGTAAATAAAAATGAAATTGTTCGGAAAAGATCAGGCTACAATTTGGTGTTGAAAACTGTTCTGAATTTCCAGTGGGTCACTCCACAGGGTGTCCCAAAAACTCTGAAAATTACTGACTTTCATTCCATCCCTGTATATGATATAAAGACGAATCATTTACTAACGGTAATACGTCAGATGTATTCCTGAAGAATCAAGCTACAATCTGTGAAAAATTCATCGAAATCGAGCGGAGGGTTAGGTGTGTGTATATTACTTTGGTTAGATCTGTTTTGGACCATTTCTTCCGGTAACCTCTGTCTCGCATAGGGAGTCCACTTCATTTTTGATTCTTCTTCTACTGATAGCTGATTGAGAAAATGCTTGAAACACTCAACCCCACCCATTCTGAATGCAATGTAACAAAAGACTCAATTTTCAACAGCATCAACAAATAGAATCTTCGTGACAAGTTGGCCTTCAGAGAATCAATTTAAACAAAAATAAACGACTTATTCAAGCAAGCATATACGGATATCTTGAATTTCAAAGTCTAAATTATCCAGAAATATCTGGCACGTTTCAGACAAAGACAAAACAATAAGTATTGTAGGGACAAAAAACTGTTGTTGTGGGTGATGTAAAGATAATGCCCGATACTTTGGACTTTTGATTTTTCACATTTTCGGATTATTTTATTAACCATCATAAATACATATAGGTACGACGTTAGAGAAATAATTGTATATTTAATCCAAAACAGTTAAAAAATAATAATAATAAATAATTTCCAGTGGAAATACCATATTTTTATTAAACATATTATTAACATATTGATTAGTTTTATCAGATTAGTTATTTATTTTTGATAGTAAGCCAAGCAGTCGAACATGCAATTATTAAACCAAGAACACTAAATTTATTTGCACAGCAAAGTTAATGAGTGGTACTTTCCGTTAAAATGCCCTAGGTACCTATCATTAAACAATTCGGGTATTTTCCTAAAACAATTTACTTTGTATACAATATATTATAAGAAAAGGTTTTTGGACTGGCTGATTCAGTGAAACTTGAGCTCAGCCCCAAACACTATTAAAAAAATATAGTCTTGAATAACTCGTATTAGTTTATATTTTTGTTACAATTAAGTTTTCATCATGCCCGATATGGGAGGAAGCAACCGTTCTGCCAAGAAATCGTAAGTGAAATTTATTTTAATTTGGATTCTTGAAATCAAAACTTCCTGTTTATAAGGTTTTTCTTCGAATGATGGTCTTCATTTAAGAGTGATTATGATTCTAGATGCAGCTGGATGAATTTTCACTGTAATAATGGAAGATTGTGCTCTAAAATCAGTATAACAATTTGAAATGTCTTCACACTATTACCTATAGGTACAACATATAACAGTTTACTTGCATTTATAAGATCAATGTCCCTGAAATCTGACTGAAAAATAACTGCTCAATAAATCTGATGCAATTTTTTGGCTTGTCGATTATAACAAAAAACAAAACATATATTATCATCCAATCAATTTTTCTTATCACTATCAGGTTTCAACATCCAAAATAATGTATTTCGATACTTTTTTAAGTCTAGTAGTGGGGCAGGATATAGGTATATAAATACCAGTACTGGCCCGTAGTTGCTTTGTTGTATTCAAGCAAGTTACATACTTTCGTTTTTGTTTTATTTTAAACCGGTGTGTTACGAGAACGTTATTAGGCTGGCTAATTTAACGGAAATCAAACTTGTACCAAAATATCATCGGCAAAATTGTTTCGTTTCGAAATCTGATAAGATTTACCTGAGATTTATTTTCGGCTTTTATTCTATGTACCATAAGAGTTATACTTAATTAATTTTTTTTGCTAAATTGTTTTGAATAATTGATTGCCAAAATGCCTGATGTTATTGAAAGTTATACCGCTACTGAAATGTAAGTTTTTTTTTTTTGTTTAAAGAATTTGGGTAAGATGGAAATTTGTATCGGTACCTATGTGAAGCTTTCCTCCTTTATACACCTACACTCTACTCAAAGTGGTTAATATAATAAAAATCAATAATGCAGAATTTTAAAGATTTATGTACATGAAATAATGTTTAGAAAAACGTAGGAGGACCTTTATTTCAATAAATTTTCTGTGTTGCAGATATGCTACTGAAGCAGCAAGAGCCATCAAGTATAGGAACGCCAACCTGGGACTTTTTGAGCAGCTCCGAGGAGTGGCTGTTGTGAATGGAACTGTTAAAGACCTTTCACCAAAGGTAAGTTGAATCAATTTGCAAGTCTAGTTATGAATGTCACATGCATTTTCTAGCTGAACCTGCTTAAGGGCTGAACCATGATATTGAATCAGCTAAGACCAATATTAGTTAAATAACACGAGCTATGAAAGTATGCCTTAATATTAATCTAATTTGTTGAATTTGATCTACATACTAATTGGGTCATTATAATGACTGTTATATTTTCCTTTAACATTTTAAACACAAATCGAATACCGATTAAATATTCATCATTTTTAATTGGAAACATAGATATGCCTAATGGAGTATCAAGAGTCCGCAGAAGCTAATTTAGATTATTAACTTAATTTCAAATAAAATTGGGATTTAAGTGAAATTTTCTAATCATGCACCTAATCAACAAAAACAAAACTTCACATTATTTAGTAATTTAGTAATCAATAATGAATATTAATTTTTCAATTCAAATTACAGGTGAAATCCTATGTAGAAGAGAACGTGGATCTCTGTCAGCCAGAAAAAATCCACATTTGTGATGGTTCCGAAACCGAAAACCATCATCTTATTGAATTCATGCAAAGCCAGGGTACCATTGTGAACTTGCCCAAATACGAAAATTGGTGAGTGAAGAATTTATGAAATTAAAAATTAATATCTGATGCACATTAATAATTGTCGTTATTGGAAAATTAATAGCCAGAGTTATAGTGCATGATAGGTATCTCTCATTTTAAAGATTTTTATATCTTCTAGTTACATTGATTGAATTGCTGTATACTTGAATATGTGTTTCCTCTGATTGATCTGAAGTTTTCAATTTTCCTAAAACTCTGTCAATGATTCACTTCAAAGAACATTGAAGTCAAAATCTTAACATGGAAAAATTTAAAAATTCAATATTTTTAAAAGAAGGGTGTGTCTTTAGATAAGATTAGATTAGATTATGTTAGGGGCGTTTAGGTGTTGGACCTCCCTGCACTGCGACCTGAATAGATCTATTGTGCTTCCCCTTTTTCTAGTAGGTTCCCAGGTTGAGAGTTTTCGCGAATCTCACGATTTTTCCGGGATTGGTTTGTTTAACATCCGCTGCAGTCTGTCTGCTCCAGATGAATGAGTCTTCTGTGACATAATGCTTTGCATTTGCAGAGTATATATTCGGCAGATTCGTGTGGCAAAGGTCTGATTCAGCTTTACCCATCTTTTTCCGGTGGTAGCCAAGAGGGCAGTAGCCAGTGAGGAGACCCGTTATGAGCCTCAAGTCTGGTTTGCTGAAATCGAGTAGTTCTCTTGCCTTTGTTGACTTTGACGAGATGAATTGCTTCACCTGTCTAAGTCCTGGAGTATAGTTCCAATGGGAGGCCTGTTGTGCCTCTACCCATTTTTGAGTTCGGTCCTTACATGGCTTTTTGTCAGGCCAAAGAAGGGCTGTGGACCGAGGAATGGTGACGCGGCACCTTCTCTTGCAAGCCAGTCCACTATTTCATTTCCTTCTATGTTTTGGTGCCCTGGTACCCATGCTAGAGTGACTCTATTGCAATTCGCCAGTTGCTTTAGAAGTTGCTGACAGTCCCAGACTAGTCTGGATTTGGTAACAAAGCTGTTAAGAGTCTTAAGTGCTGCCTGACTGTCAGAATTGATGAAGATTCTTGCACCTCGTAGGTCTATTTCAAGGCACTTTCTGGTGCAGAGTTCTATTGCGTACGTTTCCGCTTGGAATATGGTGGGATTTTTTCCTAAGGCTACCGATAGCCTGCAGTTTGGGCCATATACGTGGCTGTGTACCAGATACAGTTCATCATGGGAATTTATGTGCGATCTTGTCACTTTTGCGGCCTTCTGCGATCACACTAAAAAGGTGATTAAATTCGTATCTGGGTGGCATGATGTCCACCGGTTTTGTTGGTGTATCATGGGTATGTCATTGTGTAGGCCTCCCTCCTCACTGCAATGTGCAGAAGGATGATATCTAACATCCTCCATAGCAGCGGTTGCACAGGTGTTCATGGCAGCTGTTATTCCAAGACATGCATACCTTTGTACAACTGCCAATCGATTTTGCCCTGTCTGCTGCTTCACTTTTGGCCAACACACCAATGCAGCATATATGACCAGAGGTCTTAATTATAATCATCGTATATAACCAATAGATCATTTTTGGCTTTAGGCCCCATGTTTTACTGAAAAGTCTCCGGCATGTCCAGTACGCTACTGTTGCTCGATCGATTATTCTTTTTGAATGTGAGTTCCAGATGAGCTTTTGATCTAGGACAACGCCCAGATATTTTACTTCACTTGAAAGGCCTATTTGTATTCCATGCAGTGTTGAAGCTATTAAGTTGAGCTTCCTTTTCCTTGTGAATGGTACAATTATTGTCTTGGTAGGATTCACCCTTAGACCCTCTTGCAAGCACCAGCTTTTAATGATGTTGAGGGCATTCTGCATGAGTTCACTAATGATCCTATCATGCTTACCTCTAGAAAATGAAACAATTTTTTTGTTTTTTACGTTTCGGAATTTTCATTTAATTCCATCCTCAGAATGTGACCATCCTGACTGACTCCCAAGAAAACCTCCACTATTTCAAAAAAACAGTCAAGAATCCGAATCAAAAAATCTTACCTCTAATGATAACTGCAAGGTCATCAGCATCTCCTAGGACCACAAATCCATGGACACTTAGTATGTTTAGAAGTTCATCTATTATTATTGACCATAGCAGTGGGGATAATACACCCCCTTGGGGGCACCCCTTGACTGCTAGGATCGTCGCTTCCAAGAGTTGCTTTGATTTTCCTATCCTGTAGCATGGTTTCAATCCATGTGATTGTAGTGTCCACAAAGCCTTTGTTTTTTGCCGCCTTTCTTATGGACTCATAAGAGGTGTTATCAAATGCACCCTCTATATCAATGAATACACAGAGGTTTCTTGGTTGGAGTAGGCCTTTTCAATCCTATTGACAAGGCTGTGTATGGCTGTCTCCGTTGATTTGCCTGCTTGGATAGGCATATTGGTTTTTGTGGAGCGATTTATCGGTTACGAATTGGCTTCTTATGTGTAAATCAATGATTTTCTCCATGGTTTTCAGGAGAAACGAGGTTAGACTGACGGATCTGAAAGATTTAGGCTGTGCTGTGGGACGTTTCTCAGCCTTTGGAATAAAGACCACATTTACTTCATGCCAGCTGGAGGGAATGTAACCTAGTAGGTAGCTAGCTTTGAATATTATTGCTAGTGGAGCTATAAGTTCTTCTAAGCCTTGTTGTAGGAGAGCTGGAAAAATTCTGTCTTCTCCTGGTGATTTGTAGGGCTGAAAATTGTTTATAGCCCATCTTATTTTGTTTGAGGTGAATATTTTTCTGGTCAGACTTTTTGTTCGGTTGCTGGGCGTGAGACGTCCTTAGCCACCGAAGCTCTGTTGCCGTTTACCTCACACTCTACAGAGTCTAGGAAGTGCGATTGTAGGGGCAGTTTCACATTCTCTAATCTACTCTCTGTGTAACTGCCATCAGGTTTTTGAAGTAGTCCAATGCCGTTTGAGTGGTCTTTTGCAAGGACTTTCTGGAGTCTCATTGTCTGAGGAATATCAGTAATCTCCTCACAGAAATTCCTCCAGGATTTTCTTTTATACCTCAATTCCTTGTTGTATTCAGTTAGGGCAATTCTGTATTGTCAGTTGTTGGTGCGTTTTGCCCTATTGAATAACCTTCTCATTTCAGCTCTTTAGGAAACTGAGCGTCCTGTTCCACCAGGGCGTTTTTCTATCTACAACCCTTTGTTTCACAGGACAGCTGTTCTGATGGGCTATTATTATTAGAGTGTTTATTTCGTTCGTGATATACTCTAACTCATCCCCTGTTTCTATTGCGTTGGGGTAGTCTGTTACTTCTGATTTTAGTAGGTCTTTGTATAGACCCCAGTCAGTTAGATTTGGGTTTCTCGAGAAGGCGTGTTTCTGTGACCTCTTTATCGAATCTTATATGTTTATGATCCGACATCAAGATTTCGTTGGAGACGTGCCAGTTTTTAATTTGGTTGCTTATATGTGTACTTGCCAAGGTTAAGTCTAACACTTCTTGCCGCACACTGTTTGCAAAGGTGGGTTTGTTACCATTGTTGATAATGTCTAAGTCATTAGAAAACAAATATTCAATTAGGTACTCACCTCTCTTGTTGATGTTTGTGCTGCCCCATATGGTGTGGTGGGAGTTGGCATCACAACCAATTATAAGGTGTTTGTTCATACTTTCGCAGTAGCTGACGAGTCGTTTAACGTCCTCTGCGGGTGGATTTGTTTCATCGTCTTCAGGAAAGTGAGCCAAGGCAATCACTACCTCTTGCTTACCCCCTGAAGTTGGTGCCTCTACAGCCCCTGCAGACAAGTCCCTTGTAATGAACTCTGGATCGAAAAGGAACAAAGTTGATATTCTTATATAGCATTATTGCTGCCCTTGGATGTTCATGTTAATTATTGTATAATAACTTACTTACATGATTTTGTTGGAAGTCCTTTTATTCGTGAACCATGGATCCTGAATGAGGACTATGTCCAGTTGTTCCCAGTTGAATCTGCAGCTAAGCACGTCTGCAGCTTCTGCGTGATGCAGATTCACTTGTAACACTTTGCAAGGAGCTATTATGATTGCTCCTTGCTGGAATCTTTATGATCCCTGGTTTTGTTGGGTTTTTTGCCCGTTGTAGTTTTGCCTTTTCCCTTGAGACCTGTCTCAGTCCCCCTAGGGTCTGCCGCTTTCGATACAGACGCCCCGGCCGCCGCAGCAGCGCCAGTTTCGGGCACCTTTTTTGGGACTGTCCTTTGGGGTCCTTCTCTCGGCTTTATCCGAAGCTGGCCGAATCGGTAGGCCACCCCGAAGTTTTCCCTCTTCAGGTTTTCATAAGACCGTTGGTCTATGGAAATGGTTAGCTGAGCAGAGGTCCCCTCGGTCACTTTATTGGGGACTCTCCAGTCCTCAACGCTCAATCTTTTGTTTTGGCCTTCGAGAAGACCAAGTATTTCCTCGTTGGGGCTATTTGCACTATCAGGAAAGTGTCCCACAAAGATTTGCGGCCGAAGAATTCTGGATTCCTCCATTGCAGCCCCATCCTAGGGATTTAAGGTCTCCGCCGTTTGGAGTAGCCACTTACTTGTGTCTCCAACCTCACAGGGGTGATCACTACGAATCCTGGTTTGAAGGTGCAGGATAGGAACTTGGGTTTCACAACCCCATCCTTTTACTGCAAATTTTTTTGCAGAAGTGCAGCCTGGGTAGCCTCAAGCTGTTCCGTACTAAGCTGCACCTCCGGAAAGTCTTTATGGGTGATGCCCACCTTTGTAGGAAACCGCCGCTGTATTAGGTTTGAGTGGTGGGGCCGTTTTGGCTGCCCCTGTGTCATCTTTAATTTTTTTGGCTGTTGCCTCTGGGGTTGAGTCGTCAGATCGGGTCCTTTTGTCGGCACCTTTATCGGACCGCTCTTGCTTTATTGGCTGTTCTGCCAGTGCTTCCTCTGGTACCACTGCTGTGGTCTTTCTTAATAAGCCACTTGAAGCGCATCCTCGCGGTTCCACTAAGGTTCTTCCTTTTCAGCTTCAAGTCGGTTAACGACTTGCAAAGCTTCTGGGAAGTTGAAGCCTCACTTTCACCAGAGGATGTTGACTCATTTGCTGGAACAGCAGGGCTTTTAGGCGAGCCCATTTTGGTTTCTGCCTCAGTATTTGGAGCATTCTTGTCCCTTGAATGTATAAGGACGTTACATTCCTTAGGGCTTTTGGGAACGTTGCTGTCCCCCGAGGTAGTGGGGTGTGTTTTCTAAGTTAATCTGAATTTTTCCGAGAATCTGATAATGCAGTTCTAGTAAGACACCTTATAAGTTGGCATGTTTTGTAATAATTTGTCTATATCTCTTTGAAAATAATACCTAATATACTGTTTTCGTCGTTATCTACAGTTGGCTAGCAAAAACTAACCCAGCTGATACCGCTCGTGTGGAATCGAAAACTTTCATTTGTACTGAGGAACGCTCTGAAACCATCCCGACCCCAAAAGATGGCATAAAAGGTACTTTGGGCAACTGGATTTCACCCAAGCAAATGGACCAGGCCATCGAAGAAAGATTTACAGGTAAATACTATAATCTCAAATAATAAAGCAGCTATAAAAAAATATTTTCTGAAATCAGGATGCATGAGAGGCCGTACCATGTACATCGTACCATTCTCCATGGGCCCAATTGTATCGCCGCTATCCAAAATCGGTATTGAACTTACTGATTCTCCATATGTGGTAGCTTCGATGAGGATCATGACCAGAATAGGGTAAGAATAGATTTACCATTACAAAACTTTGAAGTATTTATTAATTAATTTCCTTGTAGATACCAAGTGCTTCAGAAACTACAGGAAAGTGACGACTTTGTCAAGTGTCTTCACTCGGTTGGTACCCCGTCCAGTGGGTTCACTGAAATGCCCAGCTGGCCCTGCGACCCAGAAAGAACCATCATTTTACATAAACCCAAAGAGAACAAAATCGTTTCTTATGGTAGCGGTTACGGAGGTAACTCGCTACTTGGTAAGAAATGCTTTGCTTTGAGAATTGGATCAACGATCGCTAAGAGAGAAGGATGGTTGGCTGAACATATGTTGGTAAGTTCTTCTGTCCTTGCAAATCTAGCAATGAGTTGACAATTAATGAGTTTCCTTTCCTTAAATTATAATGTTTATGGCAATTCCAAAAGTTTCATTTGTGACAATTCTGGTATAATATGTATTTATTTTTCTTGCAGATTTTGGGTATAACAAACCCCCAAGGTCAAAAACGCTACATCGCCGCAGCATTTCCTTCAGCATGTGGAAAAACCAATCTTGCCATGATGACTCCTAGTCTACCAGGTTATAAAGTCGAATGCGTCGGAGACGACATTGCATGGATGAGATTCGACAAAAACGGCCAACTCAGAGCAATTAACCCAGAGAATGGTTTCTTCGGCGTAGCCCCAGGTACCTCGACCAAAAGCAACCCGATCGCAATGAGCACCATTTTCAAAAACACCATTTTCACCAACGTTGCTTCTACTAGTGATGGCGGTGTCTTTTGGGAAGGCATGGAAGACGATTTGAATCCAGCAGCTACCATTACCGATTGGAGAGGCAACAAATGGACTAAGGCTAGCAAAACACCTGCTGCACATCCTAATTCTAGATTCTGCACGCCAGCTGGCCAATGTCCCATTATTGATCCGCAATGGGAAGCCCCAGAAGGTGTTCCGATTTCAGCTATTTTGTTTGGAGGACGAAGACCTGCTGGTGTACCATTAGTTTACGAGGCTAGAGATTGGAAACATGGAGTTCTAATTGGGGCTTCCATGAGATCTGAAGCAACTGCTGCTGCTGAACACAAGGTAATAACGGATTTTTTTGCTTCTCAATAGGATTCTATAATTGACATTTTCTTTAGGGCAAAGTTATCATGCACGATCCCTTCGCAATGCGTCCCTTCTTCGGCTATAACTTCGGCCATTACCTCAAACACTGGCTGTCAATGGAAGAACGTTCAACAAACCTTCCGAAAATCTTCCACGTGAATTGGTTCAGGAAAAGTTCCGAGGGCAAATTTTTATGGCCAGGTTTTGGTGAGAACTCCAGAGTTTTGGATTGGATTTTAAGAAGATTGGACAATGAAGATTGCAGCACCGAAACTCCCATTGGCTTAGTGCCAAGCGAAAATGCTATTAACTTGAGCGGGCTCGATGAAGAAGTCGATATGGGGCAATTGTTTGGACTATCCAAGAACTTCTGGTTAGAGGAAGTTTTCGCTATTGAAAAATATTTCAAGGAACAAGTTGGCGATGATTTACCCGAAGAGATTCGTGCACAATTGAAAGCGCTTAAAAGACGTGTGGAATCGATGAATTAGAATTTTATATAAAATCATTTATATATTTATGTTTATATAATTGCATATACTTAATTTTGATATTTATACAGTTGATAGTATTTTACTTTTAAGGCAAAGTAATTGTTGTAAGCTTTTTTAAATTTAAGACTGTTTTATATTATTTTTAAGATTTTTTTTTAAATAAAATTTCATAAAGGGTAATAATTGAATTGGACTTTTCATTTTTACCTTATCTATTAAATAAAATAGCTCATGAATAGCTACCATTCCCTCTTGACTTACGTCAGTTTGAAGCACAAAGAAAATTTAAGATGTTTGCATCTTTATTTTTTAAATGTTTTGACACTTCAGTCGTCTCCCAAACCTCCAGACTCTTCACAAGAGTATCAATTCTACTCCAATAAAACAAACAATTCTACTCCAAACAATCCAACAAACAAACAAAAACAACCATCTACTGAAATATGGACAACTGATACGAACCATGAAAGTATGATTGTTGCTAGAAATGGAGCTATCGAAATAAGTACCCAATCAAAACCATGCGTGCCTTGAAAAATATGGCAGAAATTTAAGTTTTGGTACTAAATAACAAGAATTGGTTTCAAAGGTTTATTATTTGTAAAAAAAAAAATACTTCAAAATAATTAATTATTCCTCCATATTTTCATTTGTATGCTTATAAGCTTCTTCCAAAATCCTCTTTTTCCATACTTCATAATCCTCAACTTCTTCAACTTCATCTTTTGTGATTTCTTGACATTCTTCAAGTGGAAGTTTTTATAAATCAGCAATCAATAAATTCAATTAAATCCTCTTACCTATTTCTGCAACAATTTCATCATCCTTGGCACTTGGTCCTTTAGTTTTTTTCCTTGGACTTGTTTTGCCTAAACCTAAACTCTCAAACATGCTTATAAGCTCTTTCCATTGTGATGGTTTTAGTCTACTTAAAGTAACTATTTTTGATTTATCAATTGATACTTTTTTAGCTCTAGAATTTAAAAGTTAATGAAAAATTAATATCAAATGACAGAATAATTCTCTTACTTGCAAGCTACAAATGTTGCAGCAGCAACATACTGAGGATGCTCCAAATCTTTAATTTTATTGTCTAATTTTTGGTATCTAGTTAATATTTTTTCTGCATCTTCTTTGATTACGGTGCAGCCTAGCTTTACACAAATATCTGTTATACTTATTGGTTTATCTAGTCCTAAGATTTTTTCTATATTGTTCAAGTTGTTTTGGTAGGCTGATTTTTTCAAACCGCTTAAGATAAGGGCTGCTTCCTAAAAGGAGAAATAATTATTCCGATTGAAAATATATAATAGTATATTGATTCTTGCCTTGTCAAATCCATTTCCTAACGACAGGCAAGCGAGGTCTAGGCATAAAATTGTTGTAGCCTGAAGGTTAAGGGTTTTTATCGAACCTTTGCTTTGATAAAGTCGTACAAACTCCTCAGTTTTTCTAAAAAAAAAATTAAAATTATTAAGTTTTAATACAGCAGTTTGTATGAAGAAGTTGTCATAGTACCTAATATTTGTAGTTGGTTAGTTAGTCTAGCAATGAAATAATTATCAGGTTAAGGCTTAGGGTTTGAGAATAATTAACAAGTTCAAAATTAAAGACTAGATTAACATAAGAAAAAATAATAGTTAAGACAAATGACACTTTCTAAAACTAGTACACTTCTATAGAAAGGCCAAAAACAGTCCTCGCAAATGGTTCATGTGGACCAAAGAAATCAAGCTCACTCAACTGATTACATAATCTGAGCTGAGAGTACAGGGAATGAAAGAATGATTCTGTGGAATTGCTGGTGGAATGTTTGAGTTGTGCGAGTGTTGCGAAAAGGGTCATGTAAACCAAGTTGGGATGTTAGTTAAGTATGGACAGTTTATGGTAAAATTTATGATTTTGTGAATCGTTTTAAGTCTCTCTGCTTTCTCTGCAGAAAAGGGCTGACAAATTTAGTTCAGCGCAGAGGTTTGCAAAATGATATTCTTGGTTATTGACAAATTTGTAGTTCAAGTATCTGAAGAATTTGTGCTGTATACTTTCAGCATACTCAAGGTGAGTACGGACATAGGAAAAATATAATATTTTGATGGAGCTAATAATCATGAAGTCCCTTGTACTGCGTTTCACAAATCCCAGCATTCGAAGCGCCCTGTTTGTGAAGTCGATATGATCAGCAAAATCTAGCCAGGGATTCAACAGACAAATCCTTGATCTGCACCACACAGTCCAAGGGAGTGCCATTTATATGGTAAATTTAGTTGTTAAAGGTTTTTGATTTGTGAAATTTATTTACTTTACATTTTAACACATTTAGTTCCAGAGCCTATCAACATCTTCCTGGAGGGCGAGGCAGTCATTTTCGCCGGCTATCTTTAAAAATAATTTAAAATTGTCTTTGAAAAGAAGAAAAAGGCAGTGCTTGAAGAAAGATGCAATGTCGTTGCTGAAAAAGTTGAAAAGTAAAGGTCCCATATGTAAACCTTGAGGCACATGATGAGAATGGGATTTGCAAAGAAGTGAAGTTGTTTATCATTACCATCTGGAGTGGGATAGCTCTCTATCGAGAGGAGTAGAAAGCCAGAAATGCCCAGTGTTTCTAATTCCCTGATCAAACTATGTCGAACGCTTTGGAGAAGTCGGTGTATATTGAGTGTACCTTTTTACCTCTTTCAAAAGCGTTTGCCAGTATATCCAAGTAGGTAAGAAGATTAGTTTCTGTGGAAGAGCTCTTTTTGAACTCGGATATCATTTCTACACCCAATAATAACGTTAAGAATACAAATAGGACGATAATTGGCCATGCTTGCTGAATCTCCTGATTTATGATTTGGTACTACGTAGCTGGTCTTACTACAGAAGTCAGGAAAGATGCCCAATTGACTGTAATGACAGTTAAATTTCAAGTTTTCCTGGAGTATCACCCCCAAGTCTTCGACTTCATGACACCTTTTCAGTGGGTACACAATTTGCAACGTAGAGTAGTTCTCAATAAACACATTTACTTTTCTAGAAAACGATATTACGCAGCATTTTTCACAATTAACAGACGTTTTATTATTTCCAAACCAGTCCACCACTAAATTAAGGTCATTCTGGAGCATAACAGACGCATTCTTATTATCGAGCTTATTATTTATTGATCTTAACAATTTAAAATCATCAGCGAGCATTAACCCTGTGGAGCTCATCAGGCTTTCCGGTAGGTCATTGATGAAAATTAAAAAGAGAAGAGGACCTAAATTGCTACCCTGGGGAACCCCTGAGGTGGCAATGTACTCCTATAAGAAAACATGCCCTACCTTAACTATGTGTGGTCGCTGAACTAGATAAGGCGTATGATTGCATTGATCGGAATCTCCTACGCAAAAAACTAGATTTGTATGGAATTAGAGGACATGCACTTGAATTGTTCAAATCATATTTAATGAATAGAAAACGAATAATAAAAGTAACACAAGATGGAAACTCATATTTTTGAGACATAAAGGAAAGTTCTAATGGGAATTGCACAAGGCGGTATATTGGGACTGTTTATAATATACCTAAATGACATTTATTCCATTGCAGATTTGAACAAAGAGAGTATTGCATGTTATGCAGACGATACAACAAACCTACTTGTAGGGGGGAAAGATTTTAATGATTTATTTAACAATGCTAAATTATTCAAGAAAACAGACAGCTGGTTTGAACATTAAACAGAATAAGATGATCCTAAACAATGAAAAATCAAATCCTATTATGTTTAGAGCAAAGAAGTCCCACCTAAATAAACTAGCCACTGTAGAATGTAGCGATAGAGTTGTAAATATTGTGGAATGTGTTTTGTTCCTGGGGGTAAATATTGATGAATTTATGGATTGGGCAAGGCATATAAACACACCGAGAAACACACTATTGAAAAGCTTAAATTCTGTATATACTCTTTTTTTTCTATAAATCTTACATCATCAAGAGTCGTCTCCGTTGGTATAGGACTGTTGTCCTTGAACGTACAAAAGACAAGAACTAGACATATTATGTATGTACAGGGGCCGAGTTCGTTTTTGTCATCTTTTTCGTCGATTTGCTCCGAAATTTTGACAGGCACGTGACTGGATAAGACAGTTTCAGTTTACAAATCACGTGCCTGTCAAAATTTCAGAGCAAATCGACGAAAAAGATTACACAAACGAACTCGGCCAGGGTTATTCACTATATTTTAACCCCCCACCTGCAGCCCTTACCTTTACAGGTAAATGATAGGTGTAAGTAAATCCAGCCAGTTTTGGCTAAATTTTTACAGCCATATGCAACATCCTCTTTTAATTTGAAAGTGCTTTTCAATACTGGTCGTTTTTAAAAATGTGTATTGCCTAGAATACACATTTTTAAAAGTGACCAGTTTTAAAAAGCGCTTTCAAGTTAAAAGAGGATGTTGCATACAGCTATGAAAATCCATTGTCAGAAACAAAAATTTTTGTCAGAAATTTGAAACTTTGTGTACTTTCAACTTTTTTCAAATGGAATGCCCTATATTTGATTCTATATTCTTGAAGAGCACAATTTTCCGATTCCAAAAATATATAGTTTGTCTATATTTGGTTGAGCTGTCTACAACATATTTGGCTCTAAAAATTATAAAAATACTATCAGAGGAACCAAGTGCCTCATATTTTACCTGCAGCTTTCACCTTTACAGGTAGAATGGTTCACAAAAGCTGTCGGTATGACGAGGGGTTAATCACCCGAAATCGTGTCACAAATTCGTCCAAAATCCAGTTAAGTTAGCCCTCCCCCATAGAAAATTTCTGGGGTGGGGGGCTGAATTAATGCTAGCCCCACCCAGTGAAAATTCAAAAATTTGATCATGCTCATTTTGTTCTCCGAGTTTTGCTCCATTATCGGCGAGTTTTGCTCCATTACCAGGAGAGACCTACAGAGCTCCCAAAAATCTCTCCTAGCCCCCCCACCGGTAAAAATTTTGAAATTTGAACATGCTCATTTCATTCTCCGAGTTTTGCTCCGTTTTGTTCCATAATCAACGAGTTTTGCTCCATTACCAGGAGAGACCTACAGAGTTCCCAAAGAATCTCTTCTTGCCCCCCAGAGAAAATTTTGAAACTTAAATTACTCATACCGAGTTTTGCTCCATTTTGAACCATGATCAGCTCGTTTTGCTCCATGACAAGCCGCTTCCGGGTGCCACGCTCAGGTTAGTGGTTAGTCCGAAGTACTCCGGCTACAATTTTACACATTCGGGCGAACAGAGTTTGGCTCTCTCAAGCTGCTCTCACTTTCCTCGCCTCTTTCCCCTGATGCAATTTTCACTGGTGGGCAAGAAAAGATTCTTTGGAGCTCTGTAAAATCTGTTTTTTTTTCAAAGATAGAAGTCAAAATGACATTATGTTGGCAATACAATGTAAAATTGTCAATGCTTTCAAATTTTTATGTCCAAAAGACCAGGGCCGTATCTAGGGGGGGTTTTGGGGGTTCAAACCCACCCCGAAAAATATTAAAATTCAAAAAATTTAACTTAAAAACAAACAAAACTTATTAAATACTTATTTTTTTTTTTTTTTTTATTACTAGTGTAACAATTTTTTTTTGCCACTTTGCCTAACCCCCCCCCCCAAAATTTTGGTCTAGATACGGCCCTGCAAAAGGCTTGTGTTGCCAACAGAGTTACTAAATTTTTGACTTGGGGAATTACCTTTAAAAAAAAAACAGACTTTAGGTTATTCCTGGTAATGGAGCAAAATTCGCCGATAATGGAGCAAAACGGAGCAAAACTCGGAGACCAAAATGAGCATGTTCAAATTTCAAAATTTGAAACTGTAATGGAGCAAAAATTGAAATCAGTGGAGCAAAATAGAGCAAAATGAGAGCAAAATTATGGGATAATTTTCATCCAGAAATTTTTTATGGGAGGGACTAACTTAACTGACCCTCCAAAATCCCTCGGAAATCTGTCGAAATCCCTCCGAAATCTTTTAGCAGACGGAAAAATCTCTCGCCTTTTTCACAGAACGATCTATTTTATAACTTTAATAACGTTTTGACCGATTAATGCTGAAAACTGAATTATTTTATAAATTTTAGGATGTAGGGTTTGAAAATATTATCAAATATTACAAAAATAAATTACAGTGTGTATCAGCCAAATGGAATAAATTCAATAATAAATAAATGGGGGTCTGTTTGAAAAAACGCTTGGATCCGTCAATTTTGTTTTTTTGGTAAACATTTTTTACACAAAGTTTTTCTATACAGGGTATCCCAGTCCCAAGAACAGCTAAAAGTAAAGTAAAGTAAAGTAAAGGTTTATTAACGGATTAACCATTTCAAAAAGTACAAAGGTATAGATACACAATGAATATAAATATAAATATAAATATACATATCCATCTAAAGAACTCTATGCTTAATCTGTAATCTGAATCTGCTTCCAATTCCAAAAATATATA